ATATATAAAAACTACAAGTTCACAATAATAATTTAAAGAGAGAGCATCCCTGGCTGGGTAGCTCAGTTGGTTAGAGTATTGCCAAGGTTGTGGATTCAATCTCTGGTCAGGGCACATATAAGAAGCAACCAATAAGTGCATAAATAACTGAAACAGCAAACTGATGTCTCTCTCTCTCTCTCTCTCTCTCTCTCTCTCTCTCTGAAATCAATTTAAAAAGAGAGAGAGAGAGAGAGCAGCCTGGCCGGCATGGCTCAGTGGTTGAATGTCAACCTGTGAACCAGGAGGACACAGTTTGATTCCTGGTCAGGGCACATGCCCGGGTTGCAGGCTTGATCCCCAGGTGGGGGCATGAAAGAGATAAATAAGGAAAGAGATTTAAGCATTTACCTTAACATTCTGATATGAACTTTAATTCAGGGTAACCAAATGGTCCTAGAGGATGTGAAAAAGTTTTTCCATACAGAATTAGAACTAATAAAGGGAGAAAAAATGGCCTTTGAAAATCATAATTTTATAATCCCTGGTGAAATAACCAATTCATAAAATGGTCATTAAGGGATAGTAAAATGATTTGGTGAAAAATTAACAGGGAACCTTATGATGCAGGATCAGGCTGTCACCACCTGAAAATGGAAGGAGCCTGGGACCTGAAATGCACAGTGGAGGAGAGCTGTCCAGCCAGAATACCTGTTCTCCTGTGTAAGTGAAAAATAAATCTTTATTGTGTTAAATCACTGAAATATGGAGCAATTCATTATAAAAGTTAGCTCATTATAAAATTATACCATTTGTATATATTAAAACACATAAGTATTCTATATAATAAAAGCCTAATATGCAAATCGACCGCTAGTCAGGAAATGGTTACTGATGGCAGAGGAAAGGGATTATACTTGGGATAGGGCCATGGCCAGGACTTCTGGGTGGGTTTTAGTTCTTGACATGGTAGTGGTAACAGAAGTGTTGGCCGTAGAATCTTTCATTAAGTCTTACACTTGTTTTCTGTGTTCTCTACATTTGTGCTTTATTTTACGAGTCCAGTTTTTAAAAGAATAGTAAGAGAGAATTATGAACAACTTTATGCTAATAAAGTCAATAACTTAGATGAAATGAACAAATTATTTGAGAAACACAACTTACCAAAATTAATTCAAAATGAAATTAAAAGACTGAATAGCCCTATATGTATCAAAAAAATTAAATTTGTTATAAAAATAAATCTTCCCGTAAAGAAAACCTCAGGCCTAGATGATTTCACTGATGAATTCTATCAAATACTGAATAATACTGCCAATCTTACCAAATGCTTTTAGAAAACAGGGGAGGAGAAAACACTTCCTAACCATAACCATGACACTAAAACTTTTTTTAAGTTTATCAGAAAATTGGGGCCCTAGCCAGTTTTGCTCAGTGGATAGAGCATCAACTGATGCGAACTGACCACCAGGGGGCAGATGCTCAACACAGGAGCTACCCCCAGCCCGTAGGCCCCAGGCCAGCCAAGGCGGGTGCCAGCGGGGGGCTCCCCTGATCTCCCCATCAGTCACCTCGCTGAGGGAGGCGAGCGGCAGTAGTGGGGGGCGGGGCCAGTGAGCAGGTGGGCACCAGGCCGGCCAAGGCAGGTGCCAGTGGGGGCCCCTCAATCGCCGCACCGGTTGCCCCACAGATCGGCCCTGATCGCCGGCCAGGCCTAAGAACCCTATCCGTGTACAAATTTCGTGCACCGGGCTTCTAGTATGTATATATTAAAGACACAGACATAGTGAACACACTGGAGTGTATGCCTGGGTCAGGGAGATGAATGAGAATAAGGATCAAGGATCAAAAGCAAATAAAACAAGAGACCTAGTATAAACCGATGATGAGAGTTTAACTATTAAAGAATAACAAATAAGGAAAAAATTACCCTGGCCAGGTAGCTCAGTTGGTTAGAGTGTTATCCCAATAAGCCAAGGTTGCAGGTTCAATCCCTGGTCAAGGTACATATAAAAACTCATAATTGATGTTTCTTCCTCTCTCTCTCTCTCTCTCTCTCTCTCTCTCCTTTCCTCTCTGAAATAAATAAAAACATTTTTAAAAAAGAGAGAATAAATCTCATTAAAAATAAAGAAATAAAAATCAATGGAAAAATATCCTCAGGTGAGGATTTTTAAAAAAAGAAGAAAATTGGGGAAAACTGAATATCAATTATATTATATTGAGAAATTATTAATTTTTAGGTACAATAGTGGTAATAAAATCCCTTATCTTTTAGAGATACATACTAAAACACAGATGAATTGGAATTATACCTAGTTTTGCTTCAAAATAATCTCAGGGGAGAGCAGTTGAGGGAATAAATAAATCAAGATTGGCCATGAATTGACAATTACTGAAGCTGACTGATGGTGCCTGGAAACCCATGATATTATTTTCTCTATTTTTGTGTATGCTTGAAACGTTATATAATATAAAAAAATAACTGCAAGTGATTAAGATACTAAATATATAAAAACTACAAGTTCACAATAATAATTTAAAGAGAGAGCATCCCTGGCTGGGTAGCTCAGTTGGTTAGAGTATTGCCAAGGTTGTGGATTCAATCCCTGGTCAGGGCACATATAAGAAGCAACCAATAAGTGCATAAATAACTGAAACAGCAAACTGATGTCTCTCTCTCTCTCTCTCTCTCTCTCTCTCTCTCTCTGAAATCAATTTAAAAAGAGAGAGAGAGAGCGAGCAGCCTGGCCGGCATGGCTCAGTGGTTGAATGTCAACCTGTGAACCAGGAGGACACAGTTTGATTCCTGGTCAGGGCACATGCCCGGGTTGCAGGCTTGATCCCCAGGTGGGGGCTTGAAAGAGATAAATAAGGAAAGAGATTTAAGCATTTACCTTAACATTCTGATATGAACTTTAATTCAGGGTAACCAAATAGTCCTAGAGGATGTGAAAAAGTTTTTCCATACAGAATTAGAACTAATAAAGGGAGAAAAAATGGCCTTTGAAAATCATAATTTTATAATCCCTGGTGAAATAACCAATTCATAAAATGGTCATTAAGGGATAGTAAAATGATTTGGTGAAAAATTAACAGGGAACCTTATGATGCAGGATCAGGCGGTCACCACCTGAAAATGGAAGGAGCCTGGGACCTGAAATGCACAGTGGAGGAGAGCTGTCCAGCCAGAATACCTGTTCTCCTGTGTAAGTGAAAAATAAATCTTTATTGTGTTAAATCACTGAAATATGGAGCAATTCATTATAAAAGTTAGCTCATTATAAAATTATACCATTTGTATATATTAAAACACATAAGTATTCTATATAATAAAAGCCTAATATGCAAATCGACCGAACGGCAGAACAACCAGTCACTGATGCGAACTGACCACCAGGGGGCAGATGCTCAACACAGGAGCTACCCCCAGCCCGTAGGCCCCAGGCCAGCCAAGGCGGGTGCCAGCGGGGGGCTCCCCTGATCTCCCCATCAGTCACCTCGCTGAGGGAGGCGAGCGGCAGTAGTGGGGGGCGGGGCCAGTGAGCAGGTGGGCACCAGGCCGGCCAAGGCAGGTGCCAGTGGGGGCCCCTCAATCGCCGCACCGGTTGCCCCACAGATCGGCCCTGATCGCCGGCCAGGCCTAAGAACCCTATCCGTGTACAAATTTCATGCACCGGGCTTCTAGTATGTATATATTAAAAACACAGACATAGTGAACACACTGGAGTGTATGCCTGGGTCAGGGAGATGAATGAGAATAAGGATCAAGGATCAAAAGCAAATAAAACAAGAGACCTAGTATAAACCGATGATGAGAGTTTAACTATTAAAGAATAACAAATAAGGAAAAAATTACCCTGGCCAGGTAGCTCAGTTGGTTAGAGTGTTATCCCAATAAGCCAAGGTTGCAGGTTCAATCCCTGGTCAAGGTACATATAAAAATCAACCAATGAATGCATAAATAAGTGGAACAAACTGGTGTTTGTTTGTTTTTTCAAATATTGTTTTTCTATATATATATATATATTTTTTTTTTTTTTTCAGAGAGGAAGAGAGAGATAGAGATTGAAACATCAATGATGAGAATCATTGATCGGCTGCCTCCTGCACACCTCCTACTGGGGATCGAGCCCGAAACCCAGGCATGTGCCCTTGACCGGAATTGAACCTGGGACCCTTCAGTCCCTAGGCCAACGCTCTATCCACTGAGCCAAACCAGCCAGGGCCAAACTGGTGTTTCTCCCTTTATCTAAAATCAATCTTTTTTTTTTTTTTTAAGAAGGAGAAAAATCTACCCTTTCCAGAGAGAGCCTTGGCTAGTTTGATGGTAATTATCTTCTGCCTTGAGGAGTACAGAATGTTTCTGGAGAGGAGGCAATGTTGAAGACACAGTTGTCCAGCAGGAGAATTTCAGGCCTGAAAAGTTCCCTAAACTGAGACCTTCATTCTCACCTCTTCCTGGTAGTGATGATTCAGGAGGCACTTGCTATTCTCCAGACATGGAGCCTGGACCTGTCTCCCTTGGCACCAGCCTAAGGGAGGCTGGACAAAGCACAGAGGCTCATTCTGGCCCTGGGTGCATCCTTCTGCCCACCTTCTATCTCTGCCTGTGGTTGATATTCATGTCCTATTCCCAGAACCTGTTAGTATCTTAGCTTATATGCCAAAAGGGACTTTGAAGATATGGTTGAAGATCTTGAGGTGGGGAGATGATTCTGGATTGTCTCAGTGGACCCCATATAACTACAAAGACATGTAATCAGAATGTAATTCTCATAAGAGGAAACAGGAGAATTAGAGAAGGATGGAAGCAGAGGTCCGAGGAGTGAAGATGCTATGCTGCTGGCTTGATGATGGAGGAAGGGGCCATGAACCAAGGAATGCAAGCCGCCTCTAGAACCTGGAAAAGGCCAAGAAGCAGATTCTCCCCTAGAGACTCCAGAAGGTATGCAAGCTTGGCAACATTTTGACTTTTAATTTAGCCCAATGAAACTGATTTCAGAGCTGTGGCCTCCAGAACTGTAAGCTAATGCATTTGTGTTATTTTAAGCAATTAAGTTTATGGTAATTCATTACAGCAGCAATAGGAAACTAGTATGCTGGGCAGTACTAATCTGTTCTCCTAGGAAAGTAAGGTTTGTGAGAGTGGGAAGTGGAGAGGTAGATTTCCTAGAAGCCCCTGCAATCAAACTGAACTAGGTTCATATTACCATTCATTTATTACTTATATTACTACCTGAGCAAATGTCTAAGCAACAATACATTGTTAATAATGCATTGTTTATAGGGTTGCTAAGAATTAAATAATGTTTTAAATTACCTATTACCTAATTACCCACTTAAAAAAGTCACATCTCCTTGTGGGTTTATACACATTCATTCCCCCATTCAGTCAACAGGTGTCACTGAACACCCAGTGTGTGCCTGGCACCATGCACAGTGAGCTTGTGTCTACAACAAGCCCCAAGCATTTCTCACCTAAGGTGCTACTGAGCTTCCAGTCAGTCCAGTGCTCAACCTCACTGCCCCCATCCTAAACGCAGGCCCTTACACTTGTCCACTCACATGGTCTCGTGTCTTCACGATGTACCCATCCCAGTCAGCACCACCCCTGATCCTCTCAGGCACTATTTCTGCAGTTGCCAAGAGCAAGTGCATCTCTGCCTTTATCATGAGCTCTGACAAAAGCCTCGGGCCCACTTGGAGGACAGCATGCTCCCTCTGATCATACTTGTAGCACTCCCCTTCCATCTCATTCTCTCTTATCTCCCCCCCTTCCCTCCCTTCTCTTTCTCCTAGCTAGCTAGGAAGGTCTAAGTTAACAGGAGAGCTAAGTCTCCAGCAGCAGGTCCAAAGGCTGGTAGGAGGGAACAAGGATGTGTGTTTCCTGGGTTCCTGAACTTCTCTGTTAGTGAAATAGGGTATAAGATATTAAGATAGGATGCCCAGACCTACCTGGAGTGCCCAGGCGTCCCAACTCACCGAACCTCTCCAGCTCCTCAACACCCTCACATGCCTATCCAGTTGAGCCCCTGCCATCAAACTGAACTAGGTTCATATTACCATTCATTTATTACTTATATTACTACCTGAGCAAATGTCTAAGCAACAATACATTGATAATAATGCATTGCTTATAGGATTGCTAAGAATTAAATGTTTCAAATTACCTAATTACCCACTTAAAAAAAAGTCACATTTCCTTGTAATACCCTGACATATGGAGCCCCCAACTCCGTAGGACCCATCTGGATTTCCTAATCTCAAACCTCTCCACCCCAGACCCCACTTCTAACCTCCGCCGAGTGGAGTTTTGACCCCATGATTTTCGGCCCTACTCACCCTCCCTTCCCAGAAAAATGGTCCAGGATTGATTTCCCTTATATCTGCAGTCCAGGTTCCTGTACCTTTTACCCAATCCAGGTCCAAGGTTCTCTTTCCTCAGAGCCTATAGCCCTTTTCTAAACACTGAGCTGCCTCTTTACAGTAGGATGAGTACCCAAATATTAAAATAGGGGAAAATTGCCCTAGCCGGTTTGGCTCAGTGGATAGAGCATCAGCCTGCGGACTGAAGGGTCCCAGGTTCGATTCTGGTCAAGGGCACATGCCCAGGGTTGTGGGCTCCATCCCCAGTGGGGGTCGTGCAGGAGGCAGCCGATCAATGGTTCTCTCTCATCATCGATGTTTCTCTCTCTCTCTCTCTCTCTCTCCCCTCCTCCCTCTCCCTCTCCCTTACTCTCTGAAATCAATAAAGAAATATATTTTTAAAAAATAACATAAAATAAAATAGGGAAAAATTGCTTTCAGTCCCTTTAGGCTTGGGTGTATTAACTGGGTGAGGTGGAGGAACAGTCTAACCAAGTGATAGAACTGTGGGCAGGCAAGCAGACGGGAGACACCTGGGTTCTCTAACCTGGGCATTGCCATGGATGACACTGGGCAAGTCTCTGACTCTCTAGGCCTGTCTCTCCAGTCTGTCTGTGCTCTGAAGGGGCTGGTCTTCTGTAAGGCTGTGTTTGAATTTGGAGGTTCCCCCAGCCACTCATGGCAATGGTGCATAATGACCACAAGGTGGCAGGCAACTTCTTCAGCTCGGAAGTTTGTAGACTAAACAAATAAGCAAGCTTCAAAAAGGAATACAAAGCAGTTCCCCAAGGGCACACTACAAAATGGCAACAGAGTAGGAATTAGAAAAGGGTATTTGAATTTTCAGCCCCGGGGGTGGGGGTAGGGGGTCAGGAGCCCCAAGACCAAGAGGGGTGGTAAGGGGAGGGCTGGTGGGCAGCAGAGGAGAGGCTAAGAATATATTTTAGTGATATCAATCACATTGAGGGGATGGGAGGAGGAGAGAGGGTCTTTAGAGGACAGCCATGGACTGAATGTATTGTCCCACAATGATTGGGGTCGGGGTGCAGAATAAGAATTGAGGAGTTTAGGGGAAGTGGAGATGATCAACCTGGCTTCCTTCCCTTCTCAGCATAGAATGAAAAGTAGAGAAATTGCAGCAGTTATTCTAGGATTTGGGGATGACTCCTACAACTCAGGAGGGTACAGCAAATAGGCAAAGATCACCTGATATCCTTTTCGCCTTCCAATAATCTAGTTTCAGGGCCCAGGAAAGATAGGGACCGACTTATGGGCAGTTACCTGGGGTTCAAAGGGTTAATTTCCAAGAATTCATTCTTTGACATCAACCCTTGTCTCCTTGTCCCCTCCCTGAGCCTCAGGTTGGCAGCTTCCCTGAATTCCTTCTTTGGTGCAATTCTTTAGGGCCCTGGGACCCAGGCCCAGAGCCAGTCCCCTGCTCCCTCCTCAGGTCCTAGGAGTCTAGGGCTGGCTCTAAGGGAGGAAGGAAAGTGGCCTTTCCCTCAATCTCTCCCTCCTCCTCGGGATGTGGGCCCTAGAACTAAAGAGCCTCTGTCTTTCCCTGCCACACCACACCCCCCATTGTAATTCAAACAAGGGGATTCCTGTGTCCCAGTCTCTGGGCAGGTCCTTTTGATCAAATGGTAGAGGGTCGGGGCCAGGTGGGGGAGGGGGAATCACGGGATTAGAAAAGAAGACACCTCCTCACTTTGGAGATTCTGGTACACCTCCAGAGCTCTGAGACCTCAAGCTTGTCCTCCCTAAGCAATGGGGACTCATCTGCATATAAAAGGCCCGAGGCCTGAAGTGGAAGTGGAAACTGAGAAGGTGTGGAGACACAAAGGCTGAACCTCCTGGCAGACAGATTTGGAGCCAGAATACAAGAACCGGGACAACCCAGGGACGGGGTAAAACACGAACTGACTGTGGCAGGGCAGGCCAGGACTTTTGAGAGCAGTAGGTGGAAGCCCTTGCCAGTTTCCCTCCCTAGAAGCACAGATATAGGAGTGCTGGCACCAGGCAGGGATGTGGTTACAGAGGAAGTGAGATCCCCTAGGATGAAATGAGAATAACCCTGTTTAAAAAGTATGAACCTTTCTGAAAAGAAGCGTAAATATCTGACAGTGAGAAAGTTTCTTGCCAGGAGGGGTGGTATGTTCTCCCTCACAAGAAGTAATGGTTTGGAGAATAAATGGCATGGTCTCACTTAGCAGCAGGGGTTCGGATACCGCTATACTGACCTATTACCACCAAAGGACTGGTACAGTGGAAAGGCTAATCCATCCTGGCAGGCAATGACATCACTCACCAAACAGGAAACCGTGGTTCTACCAACCCCAAAGGTTACTAGGAAGACTAATCCATGGAGGGTTGGCCCTGAGTGACCATGTCCCTCCACAGCCATCCATCTTGGCCAAGGTTTGGGGGGGAGGGAGAGGAGAAGACAGCCAAGGCTCTTAGACATTGAGTGAAGCCATTATTCTCACATCTCTTCATGAGTGACCTCCTAAGGGCCCTAAATCCTTCAAATCCGTACGTAGTTATGGAGGAAAAGGAAAGAGAGACCATCACACCCTCAAGAGCAGGGTTGGGGAAACTTCTGCCAAGGGCTATTTGGGTATTTATAACATCGTTCACGGGCCATATAAATTACCAACTTAAATATTAGCCTGCTATACTTGGTCAAACATTTAGTTAACTCATCCCTAATGCCTTGGCAGGGCCAAACCAAATGATTTCCTTATGCGGACCATAGGCTGAACGTTTCCCACCCCTGCTCTAGAGTTAATATATCTATGGAAAAAATATATATATAGCTCTAGGGACCCAATAATTGAGGGATAGAGCACAGCCTCCCCAAGGACCAAAAAGATGGTGAGGCCAGATTTCCATGGTAACTGATTTCAATGCAGCCTCTTCCTAGTCCCAAATTGAGAGAGAATGAATTTCAAGGGAGACTAGGGCCTAGTGAAGAAAGAGCCACAGCAGAACAAAAGGGTGGAAATGTTGTTACAGGAAGGTCACATCATCCTGGCACTGCCCCCAGTACCAGTGGACCTCAAAGCCCAGCTCGGCATTTTCATCCTCTGGTGGCTCAGGAGGTCCACCTTGGAGCCCCTCCTCTGGGGGCTTCCACACAGCCCTCAAGTTCCCTAGCTTGGTGGCTGACAGGTCCAACTCAGTCCTGGCCCTCTCCCCACCAGGTATAACCTTTGCCCAGACCATCTCAGGATGGGGAGCCCTAAGGTTGCCCGGTTCATCCAGCTCAGGGGGTGCCACGGTGTCCAGGAAACTGCCAATGGAGACACTGTCCAGCTGGTCAGTGGAGCTGACGTCTGGCAGGCTGTCCCAGCTGCCTCTCCTTGAGTGGCCTGGGCTCCCACCTGTCAGGCTATATTGACTGCTGGTGAGGCTGCTGCAGTGGCTGGTCAATGTTCCCCGTTCTTCCAACAGCCAGCGGAGCGCCTCAATGCCCTCATTCAAAGTCAGCAGCTGCTGTAGGATCTTCACGTCAATGGCTCGCAGGTAAGCCTGGGGGAGTGGGAGAAGGAATCAGTTCCGGTTCTGGGCCATGCATTTCCCAAATGTTTCCAGAGGCCCCTACCTTGTGGTCCAACCAACTATGTTTCACTCTCAAGAAGCAGGGAGCCCTGGCTGGTGTGGCTCAGTTGGCTGGACATTGTCCCGTGCACCAAAGGGTTGCCAGGTTTGATTCTATCAGGGCACATGCCTGGGGTGGAGGCTTGATCCCCATTGGGAGGCTTGCTGGAGGCAGCTGATCAATCGATGTTTCACTCTCATATCAGTGTTTCTCTTCCTCTCTCTCTAAAAATCAGTAAAAAAAAAAAAAAGGTGTTTTTTTTTTTGGAAGAAAAAAGGCATGGAAACAGAGGGTTTGGGGTGTGGGCTTAGAAGCAGACAGATTACTGTTTTAAAACCTCACCTCTACCACTGATTGTCAACACCACTATAGCCAACTTTTGTATCTTCTTTGAGCTCCATTTCCTTCTTTGTAAAATAGCGTTAAATCACTCACCTCACAGGGTGGCTGTGAGAATTTTGAGATGCTGTCTATTAAGTACTCAGCACGGTGCCTGCCACAGAGTAAGGGCTCAGTAAATGTTAAATATTAAAATCTGATCCTACTGAGCTTTGAACTTCATACATAGGTATTACTACTAACTCCTGAAACAACCGGTCCAGAGTCACCAGTAAACTTAGAAACAGCCAACGAATAGTCTGATAGGAGGCCAGCTGTTAATTGGGAGGTAGACTGGACCAAAAGAAGACAGGAGCTAAGGGATAAAGAGGGAGCTAACCTGGTCCCCCAGTCACTTCAGGGTGCCGGTAGCAATTATTAAGGGAGGGAAGAGTTGGCTAGAGCTTCATAGGGTCAGAATCCCTCTGACTAGGGATTCAGTGCTTTCCTCCACCACACACTAGTCTCCCTGCTTGTACTGGGAGTAAGTCTGACTGACTGGGTAATCTCTAGGGTCCCTTTCAACTCAGAGGCACTGAATCATCTTTCCCAAACACAAGTTTGAACCTGTCCCTCCCTTGCTCAAGAGCCTTTATGGGCTTTGCACTGCTCTTAGAGAATAAAATGTAAACAGTTTAGCAGCTGGCATTCAAAGGCTTTCATAATATGGCTCTTGTCCATCTCCCTAGCTTCACTTCTAGCATACCTCCCCAGGAACCCCCGGTTCTGCCACCCGACTTAAAAGCTCCTTTTATTTAGTGTTATTTTTAGTCAAAGTAATAGATAGTCAAAGATTAAAGAGGAAAAAAAAAGATTAAAGAGGCAAAAAGTTCTGCAAGATTTATTATGAAAAGTAAGTTTCCCATCATTGTCCTAAATCCCACACTCCAGAAACAACTATTAATTTTTTTAGCTGTTTATTTTGGTACTTACCTTCTAATTTCCAAATAACATGCTACTTACTAATTTTTAAGTCTTAGCTATTTTCTACTGACTTCCCACACAATAGGTTAAGAATTTAACTCTTTCAATTTACTCCCCATTCCTCTGCCATACAGGCACCCTTCCCATCTCCCCATATTCCCATTATATACAATACAATTCATTATTCAGTGTTTATCTTATTAAAATTCAATCACAGCTAAGCCATGTGGTTTACTATAGTTACCTTACATTTCTTACAACTTTATGTTTTCCTTAGAATAATACGTTGCCCAGCTAGCATGGCTCAGTGGTTGAGCGTCTAACCATGAACCAGGAGGTCATGGTTCAATTCCCCGACAGGACAATTGAATATGTTATTATTAATGTTATAATATGTTATATTAGTATTATTCATGTTATAATATTACTTCTACTACTACTGTTTTGCTTAGTTTGCTATATAGTTGTCAATAAGTCATCACCAAATTCTCTCCCAATTGTCTTAATTTCTCAAGGCTTTTAAACATATCATATACTAGTATTGTATCTATTCCATCTTAGAGGCAATAGATATATTGTATCTATTTCCATTTAGAGCCTTGAAAATTAGTGGAACTTAGCCAGACAAAGCAGTGTCTCCTCCAATTCAAGTATCCTTGCCAGCCCTAGCTGGTTTGGCTCAGTGGATAGAGTGCCAGCCTGCAGACTGAAGGGTCCCAGGTTTGATTCCGGTCAAGCGCATATGCCCAGGTTGTGGGCTCAATCCCTGGTGTGGGGCATGCAAGAGGCAGCTGATCAATGATTCTCTCTCATCATTGATGTATCTATCTATCTCCCTCCCTCTCTGAAATAAATAAAAAGCAAGGCTTTTTTTTGCCAGAAAAATAATACTCATTTCACACTATCTCTTTGGAAACAAGGGGAGGAGTGGGGAACCTGAATCCCTGTGGGAAGAGAATTGGGTTGGAGTGGCCTCTGAGGCTGCATCTCTCCTGAGCTGTTTATCCCCCTTCTGTTTCCACGTACACATCAGACTCTCGGCCCAGCCCCGAGGCTACAGTATGGCTCCCTTATCATTCAAGTCAAATCAGGACCTAGGATAAAATCCCAGTCCCAAATCCCTGGTCATGGATTGAGATTCTCAGACTATTACTAGGAAGGCTCTTAGATCATCTGGTCTCACAGTCACTTGCCTTCGCCCATGTTGGGAAGAGGCAGACAAACTAAGGCCAAGAGAGAGGCCCTGCTCAGGATCTCAAGACGATTCAGCAGAGCTATGACTTGAACCTATGCCTCCCCACTTCTTGCCTAAAGCTTTTTAAAAATACATTTTTTAAATTGATTTCAGAGAGGAAGGGAGAGGGAGATAGAAACATCAATGATGAGAGAGAATCATTGATCTGCTGCCTTCTGCACGCCCCAGACTGATGGTAGAGCCCACAATCCTGGGCATGTGCTCTGGCCAGGAATTGAACCATGACCCCCTGGTTCATAAGGTGGGTGCTCAACCACTGAGCCGCACCAGTGGGCTAAAGCTTTTTGTCAAACTGTTCTGTGGGGTTGTTGTCATAACAGTTATTTGGGTGTTAGTATTAAGAGGAGGTTGCCACTGTTTTTCCTTTCCACATGCTGCTGCCAGAGTCTGGCTGGGCAGGAGGGAAAAGGCCTAGAGGCAGGGATGACCTTGGCCTCAAGGGCAAGACTGTCCCCTCCCTGCAGGAGAGCTGGGAGAAAGACTGTTGAAGGACAGTACTTAGAGGGCTTGGTCCAGTCCTGTCACAAGTGGCTCCAGGGTGGAACCCCCCTGCCCTGCTCCTTGTCCTCCCTGGCTATAACCCCATGGGCAGGGCAGAGTGTAAAAGAGATTCATGACATCCTGGCCTGAAGAGGGAGAAGGGAATGGAGCAGGGATCCGTGGGGCACATAGGGAGCCTCTCCCTGTTAGATCCCCCAGAAAGCTCCCTCCCTCCTGCCCTTCAAGGGCAGCCGAGGGCCCCAGGCCAGGCTGGGTTAAGAGTGGAGACCTAGCTAAAACCGGTTTGGCTCGGTGGATAGAGCGTCGGCCTGCGGACTGAAGGGTCCCAGGTTCGATTCCGGTCAAGGGCATGTACCTGGGTTGCGGGCACATCCCCAGTAGGGGATGTGCAGGAGGCAGCTGATCGATGTTTCTCTCTCATCGATGTTTCTAACTCTCTATCTCTCTCCCTTCCTCTCTGTAAAAAATCAATAAAGTATATTTAAAAAAAAAAAAAGAGTGGAGACCTAATCAGAAGTTAAACGTACCCCTTAAAGTTTACAAACAGGGAATATCCACCAAAGGCAGAAAAGAGTTAGAGCCCGAGAGACGGGGCATGGCTCCTCCCTGTGTGACCTCGGCACCTACAAGCATGTTTCATCTGTGAAACGGGGAGAACGACGACTGCTTTCCTCATGTGAACGACATAAAATATGTAAGGTGTCTGGCACAAAGCAGGTCTCAATGGTAGATGTAAAGTGTAGGCAGGTCATCTAGGTTCAAAGCTTGGCTCTGCTTTTTAACTTTTCGTATGACCTGGGGCAATTACTTAACCTCTTTGTGCCTCAGTGTCTTCATCTATAAAATATCACTTACCTAATAGTGTTGCCATGAGGATTAAGAGACGATCTTGTAAAGTGCTCGGCCTGAAGTCTGGCACACGCACTTGGTAAAAGTTAGTTTCCAAAGTAGGGCCCTCTAGGTAGGCTCTTTCTAGGCCTGGAGCTAAAGTCTGTACAATGAGGCAAAGCCAGGCCCCTCCCTTAGGTGGACACTACTTTGGAGAATTTGGCTCACCTCCAGCCTTCAAGGCCAAGTGCTCACATGGCATTCAAATCCTCCCCCCAGGGAGCCTTCCCTGATTGCTCTGCCCATAAGGCTCTCCTCCCAGCCTCTCAGGCTGTGTGGAAGCCCCCAGGACCTCCTCCCCCTCTCCCTCACAGCTCAGCCTGGCACAGAGCTGGGCACACAGCGGGGCTCCAGGAAGACATTAACTCACATCCTCACTGTGGCCTCCTGGTTCTGGGCCAGAGAGCAGCTGGCAGTTCCTCCGTTCCCTAGAACTGGCTGTAAAGTGATGGCAGGTGTAAATCACCACTTTCACCGGAATCAGGGCCCCGGGGAGCCTGGTGGTCCCAACTGCTCTTTTGGCTCTGAATCTAGACCCAGCAGCAACGGGGAAGGGGGAGGGTGCCTGTTTCCTGTCCTCCCCAAGGAGGTACCGATGAGATCCAAATATCCAGTGCCCCCTGGGGTGGGTGAGGAGGGGACTGAGTCAGAGGTGATGAAACCAACACTGATAGTACTGCTACTCATGTCTGCTACGGTTCTAGGAAATTTCAAATATTTTAAGGGAGATCGGGAGAATGTTAGTGAAAGAAAGGATGTTTTTAGTGGCCCTAGTCCAGGCAGTTTTCACCCAAATCTTTACTGTGCTGACTCCAGCCGTGAACACTGGGGCCTCAGAAGAACAAACCCTGGACCCAGTTTGCAGGAGGAGAAAAAACTGGTTGCCCAATAATGGCGACTGGGGGATAGATGGTCCTGTGGGTGAGGAGGTAGGGGTGGGAGGTGGGGAGATTTCTGCTGCGCTAGGTTCTCAGCGCTTCCCAGTCTTCGCCTCTCCCCTCCCAATTATTAGGCAGGAAAAACTTCCAAGAGACTGTGCCTCCCACCCCAAGCCTTCAGGACCCATCTACACTCTACTCACCCTTGGGGAAGCAACTGATGACCCCAGGGTATAGGGATTGACCTGGGAGAGATCCCGTTGTTAGGTGGGGAGTTTAAACTCCCTGGGCTCCAGTCCAACTCCGAGTCGTTCCTTCAGGCCCTCCACCGGGGACTCAGGGACTCGGGGCTCGGGTCCTACCTCCAACCCCCACCTCCGCCCAGCCTGTGGAGCCCCACACTCACCAGCTCCATCTTCACCGCCATGATCTTGTCCCCCAGCCCATGGCCCGAGCTCGGCGCCCCGGGGAGCAGCAGGGTGCCGGAGGGTCCCGGCTCCCGTTCCCCGCGAAGCCCGCGGAGCAGCCCTTCGGGGGTCTTCCTGCCCACCTTGCTCTCCACGTCTCGCAGATCAGGCGTCTGGGACTCTGCAGTCCCCTCCATACGGGCCTGTAGCCTGAACCGAGCAGAGCGTCGGGACGGCGGGGTCCCGCTCCCTAGGGTCAGGTCTCCGCTGCTGGTGCGGAGCGGAACCGGTGGGTCCCTGCCCGCGCCGCGCGGGGGCGGGAGGAGCGCACCGTAATGCTCAGAAAAGCCGCGCAGGGACCTCTGGCCCTGGAATGCTCGTGTGTGTGCGTGTGTGTGTGTCGCAGGGGCGGAAGGGGCGCACCGTAATGCTCAGAAAAGCCGCGCAGGGACCTCTGGCCCTGGAATGCGAGTGTGTGCGCGCGAGTGTGTGTGCGAGTGTGTATGTGTGTGTGTGTTCGAGTGCTGCGGACCTCTGGCCCTGGAATGCACGTGTGTGTGTGTGTGTGTGTGTGTGTGTCGCGGGGGCGGGAGGAGCGCACCGTAATGCTCAGAAAAGCCGCGCAGAGGACCTCTGGCCCTGGAATGCTCGTGTGTGTGTGTGTGTGTGTGTGTGTGTGTCGCGGGGGCGGGAGGAGCGCGCCGTAACACTCAGAAAAGCCGCGCAGGGACCTCTGGCCCTGGAATGCGAGTGTGTGTGCGAGTGTGTGCGTGTGCGCGTGTGTGTGTCGCAAGGGCGGGAGGAGCGCACCGTAATGCTCAGAAAAGCCGCGCAGAGGACCTCTGGCCCTGGAATGCTCGTGTGTGTGTGTGTGTGTGTGTGTGTGTGTGTGTCGCGGGGGCGGGAGGAGCGCGCCGTAACACTCAGAAAAGCCGCGCAGGGACCTCTGGCCCTGGAATGCGAGTGTGTGTGCGAGTGTGTGCGTGTGCGCGTGTGTGTGTCGCAAGGGCGGGAGGAGCGCACCGTAATGCTCAGAAAAGCCGCGCAGAGGACCTCTGGCCCTGGAATGCTCGTGTGTGTGTGTGTGTGTGTGTGTGTGTGTGTGTCGCGGGGGCGGGAGGAGCGCGCCGTAACACTCAGAAAAGCCGCGCAGGGACCTCTGGCCCTGGAATGCGAGTGTGTGTGCGAGTGTGTGCGTGTGCGCGTGTGTGTGTCGCAAGGGCGGGAGGAGCGCACCGTAATGCTCAGAAAAGCCGCGCAGAGGACCTCTGGCCTTCTGGGAAAAGGAGGATAGACTGCATTCCAATGTTGGCTCCCATGTCCCCGGGTGTACAACTCTCAGCCAGGTTAGAATGTGTTTCCTCTAATCAAAACAATCATGGTTAACAGCATGATTAATATTTCTTATCATTATAGCTAGTCTCCACTATTCCATTTCTGCCCCTAATGGTTGCAGAGAGTTGCAGAGGGTGAGAGAAGAGCTGGGTTAGGTTAGAATGTGTTTTCTCTAATCAGAACAATCATGGTTAACAGAATGATTAATATTTCTTATCATTATCACTATTCCATTTCTGCCCCTAATAGTTGCAGAGAGTTGCAGAGGGTGAGAGAAGAGCTGGGTCTAAAATAGTGGTTAGAATTTAGCTAGCCACTGACACCGCCTGTGTAGCCACTGCATTTAGACTAAACAATGGCGGCAGTATGGGAGAGCAGCAGGTCTTCCACAAAAAGCTGCTCTGCCCCTCCCCACAAGCCAGCCGCTTATGTTGGGAAGAGGGACGAAGATTACATGGGGAAGTAAGAATTACAGGCATGGGAAAGTAGGCAAGGTATGATGGTTATAGGTTACAGTCTAAAATAGTGGTTAGAATTTAGCTAGCCACTGACACCGCCTGTGTAGCCACTGCATTTAGACTAAGGGAGTGGAAAGTGAAGTTTGTCTGGCTAATGAGGAGAAAAGTTTATAGCCGAAGAGGTCCACCTGGGCCAAATCATGCTTGATCTTGTGAACTGATACTTGAACTGATACTTCTTGTGTTTGACCATGCATGTGAATTACTGTATCTTTGAATCTTATCAAAATGCAGATTATGATTCTGTAAATCCAGGGCAGGGCCTGAGGTTCTCCGGGGATCACGCTTTGAATAACAAGGTTATAGAAGATAATTCTAAGGTGCTTGGATTTTATTCTACAAGCAATGAGGAGCCATGAAAAACTTATGCTTTGGCTTGATTTTTATTTATTTTATTTTATTTATTTATTTATTTTTATTTTTTTATAGCAAAGGTGGAGATTTATTGAAGAACAAGTACGAACTCCCACAGAATGAACTCCCACGTGGGGAAGGGGAAAGGGTCCTTATTTTATTTATTTTTTGTTGATTTCAGAGAGGAAGTGAGAGGGAGAGAGAGCGATAGAAACATCAATGATGAGAGAGAATCATTGATCGGCAGCCTTTACTGTATCTTTGAATCTTGTCAAAATGCAGATTATGATTCTATAAATCCAGGGCAGGGCCTAAGGTTCTCCAAGGATCACACTTTGAATAACAAGGTTATAGAAGATAATTCTAAGGTGCTTGGATTTTATTCTACAGGCAATGAGGAGCCATGAAAAACTTATGCTTTGGCTTGATTTTTTAATTTTTATTTTTGTTGTTGTTGTTGTTGATTTCAGAGAGGAATTGAGAGGGAGAGAGAGCGATAGAAACATCAATAATGAGATAGAATCATTGATCGGCAGCCTCCTGCATGCTGCCTACTGGGGATTGAGCCTGAAACCTGGGCACGTGCCAGGCTGGGAACTGAACCGTGACCTCCTGGTTCATAGGTCAATGCTCAACCACAGAGCCACACTGGCTGGGCTTGATTTTAGTTTTTAATCCAAGTAATTCCAGCCCATGGTTACAGGATAAAAGATAGTTAGTTACACCTGCCCTATCCTTTCCCACCTCTAGTCCCAATGCCAAGAGGCAATCACTTTTAGCTATTTTTTCCTGGTATTTATACTTATAACCCCACAATGGGTTTATACCACTATTTCTTTCTTCCTTCCTCTCTTTCTTTCTTTTTGTTAATCCTCACTCAAGGATATTTTTCCATTGATTTTTAGAGAGAGAGTGGAAGGGAGGAGGAGAGACAGAGAGTGAAACATCCACGTGAGAGAGATACATCAATTGGTTGCTTCCCACACGCACCCCGACCAACGCTGGAGATTGAGCCTGCAACTGAGAGGTACATGCCCTTGACTGGAATTGAACCCAGGACCCTTCAGTTTAAGGGCCAACGCTCTATCCACTGAGCCAAACCAGCTAGGGCTATACCACTATTTCTTTTAAAAATATATCTGTATTGATTTCAGAGAGGAAGGGAGAGGGAGAGATAGAAACATCAATGATGAGAATCATTGATTGGCTGCCTCCTGCATGGCCCCCACTGGGGCTCGCCGAGCCCACAACCCAGGCATGTTCCCTGACTGGGAATTGAAATGTGACCTCCTAGTTCTGTGGTCGGCAAACCACGGCTCGTGAGCCACATGCGGCTCTTTGGCCCCTTCAGTGTGCCCACAAAGTTTCAATCGCACTGTACGTGCGCGCCCGCATGTGGTATTTTGTGGAAGAGCCACACTCAAGGGGCCACAGTTTGCCGACCACTGTCCTAGTTCATAGGTAGACGCTCAACCACTGAGCCAGGCCAGCGGGGCTATACCACTATTTCTTAAATTTAAACATTGTCTACTGACTTCCTATTATGATAAATGTGGATTTACCTCACACTCTGTAGTTCCCTTCTTCCATTGGCCCTAAATATTTTTAGCCTTAATCTGAGTTTATATACTGGCTATCTTTGTAATTTTAAGTAACATTTTTTCGTAGTATCTCTTGATTCATGGATAACTGTTAACATTTTGGGGGATATCATCCCACCATTTAGGAAGCAGATGGAATGTGGAGAGTTCAAAAATAACTAACTGGTCTTCTGGCTTCCTGTCTCCTTTTAATCCGCAAACAGTAAATATTCTCTTAAATTGGGTTATGTTGCTTCCCTGCCTAAAATTCTTCCATGGCTACCCACTCACCTAAGATAAGCATCACTGTCACCTGGAAACTTGTTAGAAATGCAGTATTCTGCTCCGCCCTGGCCTGCTGAATCAAAAACTCTAAGAATGCGGATCAGCCATTTATGTTTTAACAAGTCCTCCAAGTGATTCTTTTTCTTGTTGTTGTCGTTGATATAAGAGCGAGTAGAGAGAGACAGGAAGAGAGAGAGAAACATAGATTTGTTGTTTCATTGTGGTAAACGAAGTCCTGTGTATATGTATTATTTCACTTAATCTTCACAACTCTGTAACTATCATTATTGTCAGTACAGTGCAGGGATTAAGAGTGAAGTCTGGCCCTCTCCGGTTTGGCTCAGTGGATAGAGCGTCAGCCTGTGGACTCAAGGGTCCCAGGTTCGATTCCGGTCAAGGGCATGTACCTTGGTTTCGGGCACATCCCTAGTAGGGAGTGTGCAGGAGGCAGCTGATCGATGTTTCTCTCTCATCGATGTTTCTAACTCTCTATCCCTCTCCCTTCCTTTCTGTAAAAAATAAATAAAATATATTAAAAAAAACAAACAAACTGTGAAGTCTGGCCCTCGCCGGTTTGGCTCAGTGGATACAGCAGCAAGCAGGGTCCGGGTTCCGTTCAGGGCCAGGGCTTGTACCTCTGTTCCAGGCTCCGCCCTGGTCCCGGGCTCGTGCAGGAGGCAACCAATCCATGTGGTTCTCTCACATCCATGTTCTGTCTTTTCCTCTCTTTTCCACTCTCTCTAAAAATCAATGGAAACAAATCTTCGGGTGAGGATTAAAAAAAAAAAAAGTGAAATCTGGAGCCAGGCAGTTAGGATTTGAGTCCTAGCTCTCCGAACTCGGTGACACTGGGCCGCACTCTCCTCCGCGGTAAGATGGGGTAGGAGCAGCGGCTCCCTCTGAGAGTCCTATCCAGGTGTCCCTACCTGGAGCTGCTGGGGAGCTAGGTGAGTGGTACCGAGTGCTCCGCACAGTGACCGGCACAGAGCCAGCACCAAGCAAGCGCATTCCGGTTCCACAAAGGGAACCCAGACCCAGGCGGGAAGGGACCTGCCCAAGGTCTAGGTGAGCGGTAGAGCCAGGTATCGGGCATTTAATTCCCTTTATTCTTCCGAGGCCGCGCACGCCGCAGACCCGGTGCAGCCTGCCCCG